ACGGAGATAAAGAAAGACATTTAAATATATAATTAAATAAAAGTTTCTATACCTGAAACAGAATTCGAAAAGGAATAAAACGTAATTGTAAGATTTGAACTGATATCTAAAATATAAAAGTTATAAAATTGTGGCAGTGATATCCAAGATTAATGAAATTAATAGTCCATTTCAAAATACATCTCGAGGAGCACTAAACGTTTCTCGAGAAATTACTTAACGGAGGAGTAATAATTTCTATCTTGTAAAAATAAACATAAGACAGAGAGATGTGAGTAAAATTCTTTGAAATATATATTTTAATTGCCGAAAAGTTCATGTCTTAAATCAAAGGAATTTAGGAGCAATAAGAAGGCACTACACGCTCGGTTACAATCAAAGGAAATTATCTAGAATTTGCATGTGGCAAATAAGAGGATCATTCGACAATTGTTATTGCCAGTTTGCATAGCGGTAGCGCAAAGCGATTATTTGTCTAGGGGCGCTTTAATTCCCTTGATCGAAATTATTATTATCTTTGCCTGTGAGCTCATCGTAACGCGGTTGCAATCGTTTCACTCGTTGCATCTTTGTCGTGGAACTGTGTCTTGCACATCTTTCCATTTGAAACCATACGTTCTGAAAGCTGAAGTTAAATATTGATTCTGCAAATTTGAGAACGTCGATGTTCGAACAGAATCTTTTACTGCTTGCTTTTTCTTATTATCAGTTTGAAAATTTGTTTCTTCTTGAAATTTCTGCCAGTTCGATTTAGAAATTACAAGAAATAGACGAAGGACCTATGGAACAGAAATAATGAAGTTTTACGTTAATTTAATTTAGTTTGGAGCTCGAATATTTAGAAAAGGTATTAAAATTTTGAAATGTGGGAGAAGTGTGGTAAACTTACTCTCAGTAAAGTATTAAATAAATTAATTGGAATCTGACGCCAAGATAATAAAGTATTAAATTGATTAATTGGAATCTGACACCAAGATAATAGAAATATGAAAATAAAGGAAAAGAAATATCAATATTAAAAATGTGGAGACGCATCTACTTGTTTTCATTTGATCGAATTAATATAAATTAATTTGTGTGTTAAATTGAATTTATTAGTTGAGATTTTTCACTCATGAACAATCATTGCACAGTTGATTGACAATTAATTCAACTAACATAATTTAATTAAACCTACTTATATAAACGTATTGCTTAAATCAAGAAAAATCAAGTGGAAAAAATTAATATTAAAATATTATATTAAAATGAAGTAAGTTATTTTTTTTTTTGAATGAATTGCACATCTTAAAACGTTCAAGAAACATCTTATTATACTCCTATTAATAACAATAGCCATTAGAAATGATATCATCACTCGAAGATTAAAAAAGAAAATATCAATGAAGATCAACGATTGAGGCATGAGAACATCAATAAAAAATTTAAATGTTCAATATCAGATATTTTGAACGCAAAATAAAACTAATAAACCAAGTAAGAATAGCTTCTCATTATTAACCTTTATATTTGCTATGTTTGCCTTCAAAACGATTAATCTATTTTTAATTTCATGTTTCTCTATAGATACCAAAGATTAATGCGTATTTATTTGCAAACATTACCTTTTATTTTTTATTTGAGAAACGATTCAAGTAAAATTCAAGTATAATTAATATGAAAACAAGCGAACAGATTTGAGAGGCGAAGTTAAGCAAATGTTCGAGGGATTAGGATTAATTTTCAGAGAGGACGTGTGATCGAAAAATTTATCATAATACAACAACGACGACAACGTTATTTATTATAATTTAAAAGGAACTGAAGACGTTCCGATCTTATTTTTTTATCTTCGTAATTAGAGGAAGGGAAAAACAGAAAATATAATCAATAATATCGATATTGAGGAATGTATGAGAATGTTGATAATGAAGAACATGTAATTAATTGAATATAAAGTGGCTAACGAATAATGAACGTTTGTTCCTCTATCAAGCGTAAGTTCAATCATTTTTTAATTTATTATCTTATCTCTTATTATGTGTTTATTGTCAAATTGTCTGCCAATTATTCTCATTAGAATTGATATTTATAGAGACATATATTACATTTTAACTCCGCAGGATATCTTATAATAATAATTAATATCTAAGATATAATATCTAAGAATAACCATGTTGGTGCTATTAATGCGGTCATTGCAGTAGAAATATTTAACGTAATAGTAAATCAAAGGTGAACAAGCAAATCTGGGTGAATAGATTAAATACTAGACTTGTAAACTAGAGCGAATAAAGTAAAAGTATAAATTTCGTCAAATAAATTAAATAATCTTTAATATTAAGGAGATGTCAGTTCGTAACTTGAGATAAAAGAAAGTAAACAAAGAAAAAGAAACGTAAGTTAACATATTCATATCTGTGTTTAGAAAATAATTTATTATCATATAAATATATAGTTTTGAAAAATAGTTTAAATAGTGTACGTTAAAATTTTAAGCACGTAATTCATTAGAAGATAAAAATGCACGAACGGTATAATACTGGGGATTGTTCCTTTATTCTATGCCTTTAGAATCTTTTAATGTTCCAGGAATAAGTAAACTTTTTCCCCAGTGACGTGAAGTTGCGAGCGAGGAGAAACAACTAATAATCAAATGTTTGATATATAATAACCGAAACTGAAGTTTCTCTCTTTAATGAACATTTTAATCAGAGATATTTTCAATCCAACATTTTTTTTTTTTTAATTACTCAGTAACATGTCCAAGCGTATTGTCGGCCAGTAAGCTTCGTACAATGATAAATCAAGAAGTATCATGACGTCTGTGTATCTTAACGCTATGCAAAATAGCAGAAAGACGAGAAGAGCCAATCATGGACATTTTGGTTGGTTATACCAGGTTCGTTAATCCACTTGAGTTTCTTGAAATTTCTCTAACTACCGTTGATCTTGATTAACTAATCAATTGATCAAAATTGATTTAAAATTAATCAATTTTTACTTACAATTTCAAGAATATAACTCGATTAAAAATATAATAAAGAGGAAATTAAAAAATAACATAGAAATAAAATATAAGAAAAAATGGAAATATAATAATGACGAAATATAGGAAAAGATAACGAAAAAATTAAACTGAAGAATTGATTAAATTAAAACATTTTATTTCACGCTTTAATTGATTTTATTCTTCAGAAATGTTAATAATTTAATGATCCAGAGATGATAACTTAATTTAATATCTTTATAAATGGAAGTTGTACCTCACATATAAAGTACAGAGAAAATTAAAAAACTTTATTCTTCAGAGTTTATTCTTCAGAAGTATTAATAAATTGATAATAATCATCATTGATAATAATTTAATTCAACATGTTTATAAATGAAGATAGTACTTCACACAATATAGACAGTGTTCTTTTTTCTTAACAATAATAAAATATAGAAAAAATTAAACTGGTCTAACGTAAGAATTTTATCTAACATTTTAATAAACTTTATTCTTCAGAGATGTTAATAATTTAATGATCCAGGGATAATAACTTAATTTAACATCTTTAAAAATGAAACCCGTTTTCACATAATATAGACAATGTTTCTTAACGATAATGAAGTGTAGAAGAAATTGTTAATCGTTTGACCATCACAGAGATAATAATCACTTAATTAACTTAACATATTTATAAACGAGAATTACACTTCGTACAGTATAGACAGTAATTTTTAACAAGGTCCTATGCCAAGAGAAAAACGTTAAACCATTACCAGCCGTGCAAGCATATTTATCAGAGGATTGTTTACGATTCTGCGTGGATCGCGTGGCCCTGAAAGATTGGTCCCCAATATTGAAAAGTATCGCCGAGAATCGAAGTCTGTCGAAAATCAATGTCTATAGCCGAAGTTGTAGCAAACGAGTACGAGAGAAAGTGAATACGGAGGAGAAGCTTGAGAAATTATGGTAACTACCGTGTAATTTCGAACGTCAGTGACATTTAATCGAACGTCATAGAAATGTAATATTGAGAGGTACGAAAGGGACTTTTAACGAAGTAAAAAGCGACGTTACATAAAGACAGATTGTTACTGTGAAAAATTACGAAATCGTCGCGTGGGAAAATTACGACTTGTCTTAAATGCTCAGATATCTAAAAATTTGAACAAGGTACTTATGAGAATGGAATTTAGAGAATCGCTTGACCTCCTTTGCATCCCCAAGCTTAAACTTCCCAAGCTTCGCTTTAACACTCTAGTGTTATTTTTCTGTGTAGCATAGATCTTCTGAAGTATTTTACAATTTTAATTCTTCTTGCCTCAAAATTCAACAAAATTGTACACACATTTATTTCTGTATTGCCAGAATATTGAGCATGAGTGTTCTTAAATTTTTGAATTCCTGACTCTTAATTATTATCTTAGAATTGATTATTAAAGTAAAATAAAAGTCACAATTTCTCAATTCTCAATTTTTATGCCATTATAATATTAAATATGTGTGTTTTTATATCTTTCCATTCTAATGTCTTTTCGTCACTGGATTAATTCTGAAAATAATATAAAAATTCCAATTTATAAATTCTTCTATTTTTTATGTTATTGTAATATACACTATAAACCTTGTAATGTACATATAGTTGTAATATACACTATAAAATTCTTTTTATTCTAATTCTCTTCGTCTCTGAATTTAACTCTCAAAGTAATACAAAATTTCCAATTGATAAATTTTCTTTCTACTATTATATTATCAAGCTTCTATATTACCAAATCCTTTGAACCTTTCCTGTATGCAAGAATAAAGTTGCTACACTCGAAGAATGAATGTTTGCCGCTGAATATTTTTCTCGAAAAAAAAAAAAAGAATTCTCTCCTTTCGGATACTACTCCCAGAAAGTTTAAGCTTGCAGGTCGCATCGTCTGGACTGAATGAAATGGGAAATTCAAACTGGGAAGCCAGAGGAGTGTGGAACCAGAGGAGAAAGAAAATGGGGGCTAGAGAAAGGCACAGAAGGGCATGAACGAACGAACAAACGATAAGAATAAAAATCTCTCAGATAAAAATATTAAAAAAAGAAAGAAAAAAAAAGAAAGGTGTCGAAAGACTGGGATTTGATGACACGTCCAGGCGATGCAAAGAAAACGAACGAGAGAGGCCAGTCATCTACACCAACTTCCTGTTGCGCTGTCTCGTCGATTCCATCGCTGTTTGCGCGAGAGACTCTCCCGCTATCACTTCGATCACTGTCGATGGGATCCCATTGACGTTGAAGTATCTCAACATCCTGTGTTCCGGTTTGAAGAGCAACGAGAAGCTGATAAATTTGTCTCTGACGAGGTGTTACATAGGAGACGTCGGTTAGTATTATTTCCCAATCCGTTAAAAACATGATTCTTGTGATATTATTTCCTTGTAATTGTTTCGTTAATTCAGCAGTATTGCAATATGATATTTTCCAAACAGATTACACGCTCTTTCTTTTCGAGTCTACTACTTTTCTGCTATTCGTTGATCGTTCATGGAATAGTTTTATTTACTCTTCGTTTCTTTTTCTTTTGTTTTTTTAAATATAGGTTGCGATTTGCTGTTGGAGAGCTTGAGGAACAATCCGAAGCTGTGCGTCTTAAATTTGTCGTCGTGTCGGCTGTCGGAGAGAAGCGCGACGAGCCTGTCGCTGTTTTTGAAGAGGAGGAAGGCCGACCTGTTGCAGAACGTTTGGGAACAGTCCTCTGTACAGTCTCGCGATGAAAATTCCGATAAGAAGGTGAGAATCAATTTTTTAATCGTTAGTGTAAGAAGTAGAAAGTGCATATTATCTTTACATTCTCTAATCTGAATTATAATAATTTTTATTGTAATATCTAAATTGAAATATAATATCTAAATTTAATGGTTAATAAATTGCGGATATTTATAAGAAATTTAAATCCAAGTCCAATAATCTATAAAATATCTAAGGTATGATGAACAAATGAATATAGATACTGTAGTGACAAATTATATAATTAATACACTCCTTTGATTTTATTCACAAAAATATGAATTTGTTGATATGAATGTGAAATGATAAATGATGTTATTTGTTTGAAATTCAAAAAGATTTCTGTTCTGATTCGTTTAATTTTTCCTTCAGGTCCAGGGTTTGCAAACGCTGATCCTAAACCAGAATCCAAAACTTGGGGACGCTGGTTTGAAGCAATTGATCTACGCGTTAAAGAGCGACGTCTGGCTGAGATCCTTGAGTTTGAGACACTGTGGCATCAGTAAACACGGAGCAGAAATGATGATTCGACTCTTACAATCAAATATTAGAATCACGAGGCTAGATCTCACTGAGAATCGCATACCTATTAACACTCTGCAAATGATATTGAGGACACTGAACAGAAGGCGAGAAATAGTCGAAAGTATGACGTTGAAGAAGAGATTCTGCACGGATTCTCGACGAAACGTGCTGAATAAGAATGGAACTCACGGATTTCTACAAAAGCATCGGAAAAATTTACAAAATAAAACAGTGAGTTAATGAATTTCTTTACAGATTCCTTTGTAAGTTGATACTGGAACTACCAGCGTGGTCGAAATTACCAGTTCGTAATTTTTATACAGTGAAATTTTACAGATTTACAATAACTCTTAAGATTGATTTCTCATAAAATGTATAAATTAAAAACTCTTTTGAATGTTCACTCCTCTGGCATACAATTCCCTCTCAAAAGTCTTGGAACATTTTCTATTTTTATTATTCGGTACTTACATAGACTGTAGATAACAAGATCTTTGTAATTACACAAATGATATTAATATTTAATTATATTATATTCTTACATTATGTCATATAATAATTATATTGTATCAATATATTATTATATTATTAATACTACATTCACGAATAATAACACTTGTCCAAAGATTTTTAAGCAGGGATGTTTTTCATAAACTCGTTGATAGTTCCAGCACTTCTAACAAACCTCAACATTCTTTTTATACATGTATATCCAACTGTCTTTTACAAATCACCTAGGACATACTCAAGAAATATTCGGCACAGAGACATCGTTGGAGGAAGATCCAAAGATTCAACAGGAGAGTGAGACAATCAAAGGAGATAAAAGTTTTCAAAGACGATCAAAGCCGAAGGAAGAAACTCGGAAATCTGGAATCGCAATTGTTAAGTCTAGTCGAGTCGAATTTCAAACTGAAGGACCAACTTTCGAGCAACAAAGCGCTGTTGGACTCGGAAACACGGCAAAGATCGAGAATGGAGGACGAGTTACAAAAAGTGTCGCTTCGATTAAACGATCTAAAGAGCAAGGTTGTCATGTTAGATTGCGTTTCCTCGACAGCCTGCAACGAGAATCACTTGCTAAAGGGTTTGAAGTACATTTTCGAGAAATTGGAGTCGTTCTCGATCGCGGCACAGAAGGACGAGGAAGCTGTTTTAAGTGCGGAGCCATTGTGGTCGTCGCCGTTGGCGCATCCAACGGAGGATAATTTCGTAAATTGCTTTAGAACGAAGCAACGTAGCCTTATTCTTCGTTGAAAACATCACCACGTGAATTTCATCCGATTCATTTTCTCAATATGTATGTAAATAACATGCACTCTATTTGTACGAAATGTACTTTTAACGATAGGAGCATATATTTATATGATTTTAAACTGTATTTTGATTCTGTGATTATTAGAATAAATATTTGGCAAAGAAAATGTCAATTCGTTGGATGACGAAAACATTCTTTATCGATGTCGACCTGATACTTGCGTCAAATCTTAGGATACTTCTTTCCCGAAATAAATGACTAATTAAGACACAAGTCTATATAGTTGGCCATCTTTGTACTTTCTTCCTCTCTACGATAAACTAAAATATAAAAGATCTTGCAACCGCGGAGTAGAATTTTGGTACAAATAACCATTGAATAAATTTGATTCTCAAGTTATTAAGTGTGTCCATAATTCTTTTACACGAAACCCAACAACCTATCCAGTGTTCCTGGAATAACCAGTTCCAATGCCTTAACGAAAAATGTCGTTAAGGAATTTTGCATTAGCAGCGACAAACTAGAGAAATAGTTTCCCTTATAAATAAAGTTGCAAAGTTTGCAAAGTTTCGTTCGTTTGTTCTGGTTTTTAATTTATTTACATTCCGAATATAAACAAACAAAAATTTTCTAAATTTTTTCGAATTTTACTTATTTGAACTATGAAAAGTGACACAGAAGGATTGGAAGATGTTAGGCTCATGGATCATAGCAAACTGATAAATCTTGGTCAACATTTTTAACGTAGTTTGCTAGTAATTAAATATTATTGGCAGTAATGCATTGATGTTGAATTTTAAGTTCCATGTAAAATTTCTAAGTCTGCTAACGCATTTTATAAGCCAAATTGAATGTTGAAGGGAAACTATGAAAGATGCAATTGCATAAGTTTATAAATTAATTCCTACAGTTTTTTTTTGGAAATAAAAATTGAATTTATTAAAAAAAAAGAAAAAAAGAAAATGCTATTACAGCTTTACTTAAATCACAGACGAGATGATTTATTCCTTTTAATAAATATATTACGAGAATTAACAAGAAACATCATCTATCATTTATTTTAATTTATGTATAATAAAATCTTTGTGACGACTGTTTGCTTTGCTTGATTCTTAACAACTGAAATTATAATGTATTTTCCACTATTTTATTTTATTCTTTCTTCATTTGTAATCAACATCGTCACTGTTAAGCTCGTTTTAAAAATACACGCGCCACAAGAATAAGTTTGGCGCCATCTGTTAGCGCTAACAGGAACTCTAACATCTTTCTGAATTTATTTTAGTTCTTGCAATGACTTGCCGATGGCAGAACGTAGGTAATTCTTGTCGTATTTTTTGCCTCTAATTCCCTGATACGATTTATAAATCGACTAAATATTGATTTGTAAAAGAAATCTAATTATGGAAATTAATTTGTGAACTTTCGTAATTAAATCTTCTTAATTGGAGTTTCAACTTACTTTCCGTATGCCAGTTGACCCATAAAATGCTACGTATAAATACCTAAAAATTCATTAGATAGAATGCAGTTGCAGAGTAAATTCGGATTATTTATTTTTCTGCTTTTCTCTTTACTTGACGGTATATAAAAATTTCTGAAAATATTCCAGGACACTGTGGACACATGGTATGAATTTTAAGTGCAAAAAATAAAAAGATCTTCAAATTTATTGAAAAATATGGGTTTTGTATTGGAGCTTCAGGGTGACCACTTTTTTTTTGTTTCTATAGTAGGAATATGTTGGTTATTATTTTTCAATTTTTTACTGGTAGCCGTATGTCGTAATCAAAAAAGAAAAAAAAGGAACAAAAACAGAAACCCATTTTTTCCTGTTATTTTGGGCAAAAACGCGCTGAGTACTTCTCATTTCTGTATTTTCTATATACAGTGAATATATTATACGATTTTTAATATTTCTGGATTCGAAAGGACTTAAATTAATTCAATCGAATGAAAATGTATACGTCTCTTGCCTTTCAAAGTATCAGTTTATATACCGCTATGAACTTGTTTTCATCCCGCAGAGATCCAATATTTTAAATTACATTTTCAACTTTCAATTACTAACCACGTGAAAATAAATGGTATTTATTTAAAAATATTTTATCTGAGTGTGTCACTGAGTGTATCGCGAAAATGATTTCAGAGTTCGTTTCACTCCACTTTGTCGCGGTGTCGCGAGTACCATTTAATATTTTCTTTTTATTACACAACCACCGTGCAACAAATTTAATTAAATTTAATTTCTGCATTTTTTGGACAAGCGATCTTTTCTTGTCGAATATTATTTCTCTGGCTTCCATAAAACATTATTAACTGAGATGAATTTTTTTTCATTTATGCGTATGCGTTCTCGACTTCTCATTTCAACACAAATCGAGACAAGAAAAAGAAAAGGAGCCGCTGCGATTCACCGTTTGTAGACAACAACGTAAAATTCAACAGGTTGCTCTTTTATCTACCATCACTCTTTTAAATTCCTCGCGTCTTTTAAATTTCATCTCGATTGGCCAAAAATTTTCTACAAATCACATGGACATTCGAGAAATCTTGCTATCGTTTTCGTTAATTTTTTATTGAACGCATCTCGGTTTAGTCAGGTTCAGAAGAATACGTAAAGATACAGTAACAAGTACATGAAAAGTACCAAAAGTAATTAGATGCACGTACAAGTGAATTATTACAACTTTAGATGCTCTATTTTCCTTTTTAAATAAACGACAGATTACCGTGGAAAAAGTTTTTCCCTTTAACGGTAACAAATTCGCGATGTTTTGAGAATGACAAAACAAGTAGATAAAGCAGGAATGATCAGACGTTCGAATAAGGGATTGGGGTAGGTAAAGCAGAAGGATTTAGGGGTTGGTGGATAAAGTAGGGGTGCACGAAGAGTCGAAGACGATGTGAAAATAAAAAACGATAAGAGAACTACTCTGTAGAACGATAAGTATTTTAACGAATCAATATTTTATATCTTTACGTTACCCTCTGAATAGGATTAATTAAATTAAATCAAAATATTTTATATATTTGATATATTTCGATGGATACCATTTCATTCGCCGTTGAAGCTGACTGTTGATATTACAGTGTGGATTTGATGGTCTTCATTCGTTTGCAATTGCGAAAAATGTTGCTAGTCGTATACATATATATATAAAACTCGCCCTCTTTTTGTTTGAAATGAATTATTAATTTATCTCTCGAAATTGTTTACACGTATAAAGTGGCGATTATCACTGATTAATGCTACTTAAATCACGTATAGAAAAACAATTGTCAATATACGAAATTTCACATTTGACGTCTGTACATTGCTGCCTAAAAGTCTTTGAACATCTTTTTACTTTCAGCATCCAATATTTATCTTATCGAATTGGATTTTATACTACAATTGTTAACAGATTCTTTCTCCCATAAAGTATCATTTAATGTCTCCAGTTTCGAAACAAATACTTTTTAAAACAGGAATTAATACCTGAATACACTCGAGATCGCGTATACGCATCTCTAACAGATTTTTGTCCGCCTTTCTACGAGTCAAACAATGATCAAACGGTGTGAAGAAAAGAATTTGTCACAATCTCATAAACGGTTCCAGTCCGATTACGTGGATTTCGAAGCCGCTGGTCCTCGACGAATTCCCCCCTTTTCTCGTGATTTTCGCACGGCCGCTGCGAAATATTTTTTTCCCTTTCCCCCTAAGTTCACGCCTGGTCTGCCTGTTTATTCTCAATTTACCACGGCACCGGTGGAAACGGTGGCACGAGTTTACCCTGCAATTTTCTATTCCCCCCTTTCTTTCTTTTTCCTTCGTCCTCCCACGTCCTGGTAGCCCTGGTTGCTCTACACTCTTTTGCGCATCCTCCGCAGCGCCATCCGTTCGTCACTCTCCATTATTTACTACTTCGAAACGTCGTAGACGCTTCTTTCCACTTCGCTGTGCCGGAAAAATTCCATCCCTATTCCGCTGCCCCTCCCCTACCTATGAATCCGTCGTCGTCGTCGCCGATTTCTTCTATTCATAAACCGGGATATATATCGACGAAAGTCTGCGCACTGAGAATTCCGTTTCGAAAGAAAGACGCGGTCCCGATGTCCGTCCCGGTGTGATCGATCGCGAGAAATCCGAGGAATTGATCCGACCGGATCTACCTTGTAATTCGTAACGTTCAAACGGTGGGTGGTGGATCTGTTACAAGAGGGAAAGAAGGAATAGCGTGGAATCCTTGTAATTTCTCGGGTTATTGATGTTAATTGAAATTTTATTGATATTATATTGATATTTTATTGATATATTATTGATGTTGATTTAAATCAATTGAAAGAAGATCGCAAGTAAAATAACGCAATATTATTAGTGGACACTGTTGGAGTTTTATATATCTTTTCTTGCGAGAGATTCGAAGATGCCAAATTGCACGGAATGCATACGATTGAGAAAATGTATAAAGTATTCGAAGCACTGTGTTTTTCATCAGATATCTGGTATAGGAGAAACAATTTTCTGTCTAGATTCGGTTCTTTTAATTACATTACCCAAAAAGTATGATTCTGCATAAAAATCCACAGTTCAGTTATTAAATAGTATTAAATATTACTATAAAATAATATTACTATAGTAATAATCAAAAGTTTCAGAAGATAGAGAAATACGAAATCGAATCGAAAGAAAATATTAAAATCTGATAAAATATTAATGATGCGAAGATTGCGAATACAATAAAGCAACGTCATTGATATCAATTGAAAGGGGATAAAACTTCAAAAGTGAAACGAAGAAATAAATGGAATAAAGTTAATAGAATACGTCAAAATTTAATTAAATATTAATGGCGAAGGGATTGCAGATAAAATAGCGCGAATAACGTTGTTAATGTTAATGGGAAAAAGATACAACTTTGAAAGAGAGTGAAATAAAATTAAAGAAAATGTCGAAATTTAATTAAATATTAATGGGAACAAGATCGCAAGTGATGTAACGCAAGCCTTTAATAAGTTGAAATCGGAACTAAATTTATATATTCCCTTAATTGGAATATTCGCGTATAACATATTTAATTATAATTTTATTGCATTATTATAATTTGACATATCTCTTATAGATCGGTAACAGAAAAATTAATAATATCGTATTATGTCTTCTTTAATATATTTTCTGTAGTAAGCGATTTGCGAGTTGTTTGATATTGTCAAACAATTTGACACCAGAGATTTCATCGAAATTCGATGCATTGTTTGAATTTTAACAAGAACATACAAATACATTACTTGCTGAAGTGTAAAAATTAATGAAAAATCGATAGTTGGAGGAAATATATATTATTTTCTCACGGAATTAATGGCGATACAATTCTCTTTCTTTCTTTCTACTGATAGGAGCACGGTTGTCGATT